CGCCTCTCTGAAAATCAACTTTTCATCCTTTCTCTCTCCCGCCCCACCGACCCAAGCCGAGTTAAGCCAGGGGAGCCCAAGCCAGTAGAGGGTCGGGTGAAGGCATCTCTTTATGAGTTCTTAGCTTGACTCCAACAGGAGGTGTGCCCAAGAATCTTCCAATATATTTTTCCAACTCAATGAGACGGTCCTTTCCTTATAGGGAGGAAAGCAGCTCATTCAGAAGGTGAATAAACATTAGACTTGGAATAAACATTATAAAGACCCAGGTTTGAAAAACTTTCTCTATTTTCCCATAATCTGAACTATCCAAAGGACTAAAAGTGGGAAGTGCAGCAGGTTTCTCAGTGCCTCTATGAACCCTGCATTGGAACATCTTCATTCACCAAGCACCTATTGGGTGCTCCTGAGGTGCCAAGCCTTGCTCTAGGCGAGAAACTGCATGGTGAGCACGTCCTGCCTCATGGAGCCCAGATCTGGAGGCATCAAGAAGGGACCGGGCAGTGGGAGCACAACCAGTTCACATTCTCCCTTGGAGCGTTCCCCCATTCAGACACAGGGAGCAGGAGCGCTGAGCGCAACAAATGACCCATAGTGAAGGATGGGGAAGTGGGTGACTTCAGACCAAGAGGCTATGGCGGTCACTGGTCACGTGCAGTGGGGCTGCTTCCAATAGCAGAAAGACAGGCGGAGATGTGGGCTGGGGAGAATGTCATGGATCTGGCTGTCCCACTTCCAACCCCTGCTCACAAGCACCGGGTGTCAACTTGGAAACCTGCCCAGCCACATAACTTCTGGCCTCCATGTCACCGCACCCCCAGGTGTCTAGAACCTGTGCAATGGCACAAAGAGGTGAGGATGCCCAGCTTAGGGATGGGGGCATTTACTAACAGACAGGTATCTGAGGCAGATGTCCTGAGACTTTTAGGCACCACGTGCCTCTTTGTGGAGCACTCAGGGTAGTTGTTGGCAAACAACTGAAGACTACTTGTCCTGTCCCACGCAGGCACAGTTAACCTGTGACTATTACTTTCTGACCTCCATTGTTCCACATCCAGATATACAGGGTCTTTGTTGCCCATCTGCTTCAAGTTAGATCAAGAAAATCCTGCCTGAAGGGTTAAGGTTTGTCAGAAAAATAAATGCTGTTTGCAAAGGTGCATTTTAGATGAAAGCTCAGTTCTGGAGCTCCAGAACCCACCTATCCCAAGCCCAATACACACCTCCTTTCTCCCCGTCCCTCCTCGCTGTACCTAACTTTGATGAGTGCTAAGGCTGCATGTCTCTGAGAAGATGACAATCCCAGCAGAACAAGAGAGGCTTGGACTCTTCTGTCCATGAAGCCATAGACGCAAGCAGATAGCCTCATTTGGTGGCCGTATGACTCTGAAGAAGTCACTTAGGTTTTCTGTGCCTCCACTTCCACATTGTAAAATACTCCCAATAGGAATGCATTTCTATTTGTGTTGTTCCCAGTTTAAATGAGACATGGCAGTCAAACCTTGACCCCACGCCCTGACGCAGAGTAAGCGCTCCAAGAGCAGTAGCCATGATTACTACCATTACCGCTGGTGGCCGCATCGCGGCTGTTATCATCATCTACATCCATCTTTGAAATAATTGCACATCCTTTTAAGGTATGGAGGGATCGCCACTCATATAACACTCCCTAACTGACGGACATGAGAGTGGCCCCAGCATTTAGTATGACAAATATCGCTGCTGGGAACGTACTTCTGCATTTCATCCATCATCACCTGTGTGTTTCTCTATGACATCTCTGCACACAATTTGGGGACATTGCAAAAGATATTCCCTGACCAGGAATCGAACCTGGGCTGTGGTGGCAAAAGTGCCGAATCGTAGCCACTAGACACTGGGGAAGCCAACAAGTCTATATATTTCCTCATCAATAAAAACAATGTGAAGGTAAAGGTTAACTTTCTAAGAGAGCCAGAGTGAAGGTGGCTTCGCTCTGCAGGACCACAGGGCTCCCAGCAGCCACTGCTTCACTGGCTCAACACCTCCCACCTTCGCCAGCTTGGCTCCTGCTTTGGGCTGTATTGAAGCCAGGAACAAGAAAACTGAGTGGTGTTCCATTGTACCCGGCCTGTAGCACAGTGTGAGGCGGAGCCAAACACTTGTTGTGTTTCCGAGCCTCAGTTTCCCTGTCACTAAAGTGAGGACTTGGCTGTCAGCAGGTGATGAGCCCAGTCCCTCTGGGTCCTGAACTCTGAACTGGCTCAAGGGGCTCTCTGGATAATGACATATGTAGGGCCCCCTTCATCCTCCAACCAGCTCAATTAGTAGAGCCTGAAACTCTGAATGGCGGGGTCTTTGGCTGAGCTCCAAAGAGAGCTGTGCAGATTTAGGTTCATCTTCTTTTGTTCTGCCAGGCAATCTGACTGTTCTGCAGCTGCGTTCGGGGCTCCGGGCGTGAGAAAGCCAAGTGGGCTTCACAGGAACACCTGGTTGGTGTCAGAGACATCGCAGCTATCTGCTTGTCAAGAAGATTTCAGCAGTAGATGAGCATGCTGGGAATTCTGGATCTAAAGCTAACATGAAGTCGGCCTCAAGCGGAGTTCTCCTCTCTGATGGGACTCACAGTGGGGAAACCAAGCCTGGTTCCAGGGCTCAGGGGGGTTTCAGATACGAATGGCACTCCTCCTGTGCTTCTTGTGTTCAAAGATGCAGCTAGGTTCCCCCACCCCATCCCTCAGCTCCCCTCCCCTCCCTTAAAAAAAAAGAAAAAAGAAAAAGGTGACTGTGAAAGCCACCTTTCATGTGTGAGGTGAAACTGCGCACCCTATCTGAGCTAAACGAGCTGGACATCACCCGTTGAAGACACGAAGATCTTAGGTGCTGCCTTGGGCACCTGTGTATTACCGCCTATGACAGAGGAAATTCGACAGCATCCCAACATTCCCATGTCCCCAGCAAAGTGCTGGCAAAAGGCCCCGGGAAGCACCTGAGATTCCTCAGGCAAGAAGAATGCAGATCACAATAGGCCTGGGCTGAGGGTTCCCCACGTGCTTTCAAAATGAAAAGCCCCTGGAGACCCACACCTGGTTCGGGTAATTCGGATAGGGCTTCGACTGCAATTAGCACAAGACCTTTTCTAATATTCGGCAGTTCCTCACTGAGTTAAGCCTACCCTATAAGGAAGCAAATTTACTTGCATTGATTACACACAAAAAATGAACAATACAGCCAATAAACTTCTACAAAAAATGCTAGGCCGGGCCCAGTGGCTCACGCCTGTACTTCCAGCATCTTAGGAGGCCAAGGCTGGTGGAGCGCCTTAGATCGGAAGTTCAAGAACCGCCTGGCAACATGGAGAAACCGCATCTTTACTAAAAACACAAAAAATTAGCTGGGCATGGTGGCACATACATGTAATACAGGTTCTCAGAAGGCTGAGGCAGGAGAATCGCTTGAACCCAGGAGGTGGAGGTTGTGGTGAGCCGAGATTGTGCCATTGCACTCCAGCCTGGGCAACAAGAGCAAAACTCCATCTCAGGAAAAAAAAAATGCTGTTGTGTAAATCTCATTTTTATACTAAGGAAAAACTAGGTACAACACAAACCTTCATCAACAAGAATTTAAAACCTACCCTTCTATAGTCATAAAACAATCTCAGAAGTTTACTCAATAATATCAAAACCAAAAACACACACTGATGAGACAGAAGGCAGAAAATCATGATGTGAAAATGACAGAGATGAGAGAGAGAGAGAAAGAGAGAGAGAGAGAGAGAGAGAAATTGCACTATAGCCATAGTAGTGGGTAAAAGCCAAAGAGCTTAATTTCTATCATGATATTCAATAGAACTGAAGGAACATGAGGCAATAGCTCCAAGGGTCCAGGTCCACACACGGTGCCTGCTGGGTGCAGGGTTCTGTCGGCTCCCACAATGCATCGCAGATGGGCTAATTGTTATGGTCATGGCTCCTGCAAAATCTACCAAAGAATAATACAGGGACAGTTCTCTGCATGCTAATTTACCATGGTATAGCAGGTATAGGAGGGCGAACTGGCATTAGATTGGTTTCCTCAAATAAAATCAAAACCAAGATTTATGAAGACGAGAGGAAAGGGGCGAAGAAAATCATCCCCTGGGACCTTAGTGATTTTGCTCCTCTTGGATAAGTGACTTGACGGAAAGCTTTCAAAGAGGTCACTGTGGCCCATCTTGTCCAGACCCATGTGACTTGGTCACTGCAGAAAGCAATTACGGATGTTGGAGGACTTTAAAATATTCTAGAAGTTTAGCAGTTCATCGTATGCCACAGAGTATCTGTGTCCATCACGTCCTTCTGCTGTCCGCCCCGTCAGCGGAGCCAGGAGGCCTTCTCTCCCTCCGTGGAATATCATACAGCGATGTGACGTTTGCTGTGCCGGCAAGTAAATGATGAAAAGGACATGGAGAGAACTGGGAAACTAATTGGATATGACTTGGTTCCGCTTCTGTGGAAGATAAATGTGCAGAATGTACTCAAATGAGAAGCATTAAATAAATGCTGGAATGTAAAAAGTGCGTATCCTGTTTCTGCACTATAGAAATATCTGCACGAGTGAGCAAAGAAATGTGAGTGTGCAGGAATGGTGGTGATTGCAGCATGATTTGTAATCCTAATACCATGAAACCCACCTCATTTCAAAAACATTTTGAAAAGGGTTAAATAGACCGAGGGTGGTGGCTCACACCTGTAACCCAGCACTTTGGGAGGCCGCGGTGAGAGGATCACCTGAGGTCAGGAGTTTGAGACCAGCCTGACCAAAATGGAGAAACCCCATCTCTACTTAAAAAAAAAAAAACAGAAAACAGCTGGGCGTGGTGGTGCATACCTGCAGTCCCAGCTACTCAGGAGGTTGAGGCAGGAGAATCTCTTGAACTCGGGAGGCAAAGGTTATGGTGAGCTGAGATCGGACCATTGCACTCCGGACTGGGCAACAAGAGCAAATCTCCATGTCAAAAAAAGAAAAAAAAAAAGCATTAAATAAACCATGTAAAAATGAGAACAAAAGGAAGAAATGCTGTTTTCACAAGCCATGGCGAGGGGCAGCATGAGGACAACTGATGCCACTGGTCACACTATTAACAGAGCATCAGTAAACCCAGGCACAGTCTGGGGATAGGACGCTACTGTAATAGTCTCCAATTATTATACATGAAGCAGTTGAGGGACCGTATGCACCCAAGCATTCCACGGGAGCAAAGCAGATTTTTATCACACCGGAAGTGTGTTTCCTGCCTAAAGTCTCTGGGATTCCTGAGTCTGACAGGTATAAGGCACCAGGACCCTTGACAAGCCTCAGACTCAGGATAAGTGGGAAAGAGGACATGTGTGTCTCGTGATTAAGCTGGAATTGATTGTGTATCAACAGAAACGGGTTACAACCCATCATTACGTGGGCTGGAACCACCAAGCTCTCGGTTAACAACCCAATGCACTAACCCACCTGCCACAGAAACCCTTACTGCTGATTCAACTGGGCGCTACAGGCCGGACTCACTCCCCAGACTCCCCGCAGCCCTTCCACTCTCAGGTGCTGGCGGCAGAACAACTGTGCAAGGCCTCGGAAAACCCGAGAGATTAGAGCGCTGAGTGGCGCTGGTCGTGTAGGACACCCGCAGGTTGGGAGATCCTGGAGCTAGAAGGACAGCCGAATGGCCTTCGCCCGCCCTGCCCCTCACCTGCTTCAGAAACCCCCCAGCTTGGGGGCCCAAGGGGAGCTGAACGCCCGGCGGGCTCCCGGGATGGCTCTTCCCGTTCTTTGCGCCGCCTTCACCCAGTGAGGGAGCCCGTGCCCATCCTGCCCAGGCGCTTTCGGGCGGCTGCGGAGCTTTCGCGGCCGACTCGGATCCTGTGTCTGGCACCGGGGCTCTGCCAGGCAGGGATGGGGTGAGGGTCGCTCGTGGGTCCCATGGGGAGCAGGGGCTGTCACTCCGCAGGGCGCATGACTAGGGCTTGAACGAATCCGTCATCGCCTTCGGCTTTTAGTCATTTGAAGAGCCGGGAAAAAAGAAATCAAACTCATTTCCATGGGGAAGTTTCGTTTTGTTTTTTTGTCTTGTTTTTGAGAGAGGGTCTCACTTGGTCACCCAGGCTGGAGTGCAGTGGTGCAAACACGGCCCACTGCAGCCTTGATCTCCCCGGCTGAGCTATTTTCTTGTCTGAGCCCCACAAGGAGCTGGGACAACAGGGGGAGCCACACGCCAGGCTAAATTTTGTCTTTTTTTGTAGAGACAGGATTTCGCCACGTTGCACAGGTTGGTCGCGAAAGGGAAGGGAGTTCTTTCTAAAAAGCATTTATTCCGATTGATTTCTCGGCGTCCCGTGGGGCGGGCAAGGGGCGAGGCCTCCGGTGGCCTCGATTGCCTCTCTGCGGAGCTGAGGGCTCAGTTGGGCTGTTTTTGGGTGCGTGCCTGGGTCGGGAGGCCGGGAGCGGGGCAAGGGGTGGGTCCCGCAGGGAACTGCAGGGGGAGAGCATGGAAGTCGGCAGAGGCCTGGACCCGGGAGATGAAACTTCCCAGTAGCTTTTGTCAGCGGCGAGGACTGTACAAGGGAGAGATGAGAAGTGTTCTTTTATTGCAGCAGTGGGGAAGGGAGGAAAAACGGAGACACCAAGAAAAAATGAAATCTACGCGGACCTTTAGGTCTCCAAAGCGGAGGCAGCCCTGCATTCAGCTGAAAGAACGAGGCCAGCTGCTTCCGCGCCTTTGGCTCGGTTCTTCGTTCCCTTTCGCCTCTAACCTCTGCCTAGACTGTGCCCTTTACCTGCGACTGGAGACTTAACAACGTTTCTGCGGCTTGGAGACTCTGTGCGGTGCGGAGACTAGAAGGAACGCCTACCGTGCACACCGAGGTCATCTTGAAAGGCTGGATTTTGCAAGTGCAACACCCGAAAGGTGAGGAGCTCCCTCTCAGTCGGCCTTATTGGAATCTTTTACTGTAGACATGATGCGGCTGTACCCGTTATTCTGGCTCAGATATTTCAAACAATGGCCTCCAGGTCACTCCAGAAGGGACAGTTGCTGATGAAGCCCCTGTGCTTTCTGAGGAAAACCACTTTTATTAGAGATGTCTTGCTGATCTTCCCAGGACTCCCAGGGCACCCAGGGAGACAGCTGAGCTTTTAATCTCATTTTACAGCTGAGAAAAAAGGGTTATTGGCAGGTGGCTTGCACAAAGTCACAGAGCTAGGGAGGGGCAGACCCGGGGCCATGTCACGGAACTCTCACTCCAACGAGCACGCGTGTTGCATGACCTCAGAGCCACACCAGGTCCCCAGACACACCAAGACAGCCCATTCCCCACAGAAACCTCAGGGGCAGGGACAATTCGTGCCAACTCACTGGGCTTACCATTGGCTTACTATGTAATGCAATTGATTCCCCACTGGGAGAGGGGAGCCTGGATTACTCAGTGGGCACCCACCCAGTACCCTGGTGCTCCTCGAAGCTGCTTCTCATGCCTTCCTTGAATAGGGCCTGCTTGTGGAGCCCTTCATATTGCCTGTGCACTGCTCCTCATGCTCCCAGGGTCTGTCAGGAGTACCAATGGCCTTGCTGACATCAGGGCTCCCTCGCCCTGCTGCTCTCTCGATTGCCCCTCAACACATGCATGCAGACACACACACACACACACACACGAACATCTGCATCTGCAGAAACACACACACGGGCACTGCACACATCTGCACCTGTGCCTTCCCACTGCATCTGCCACATGACTTCCCATCCACCCTCCTCCAGCCAGGCCCTCTTTCTGCAGAGTTTTCAAATGACTTTATTCCAAGATACCTTCTTTTTTTTTTTGAGATGGAGTCTCACTCTGTTGCTTAGGCTGGAGTGCAATGGCGCGATCTCGGCTCACTGCAACCTCCGCCTCCTGGGTTCAAGCAATTCTCCTGCCACAGCCTCCTGAGTAGCTGGGATTACAGGTGCATGCCACCACGCCCGGCCTGGCTCATTTTTGTATTTTAGTAGAAATGAGGTTTTACCATGGCCAGGATGGTCTCGATCTCCTAACCTCATAATCTGCCCGCCTCAGCCTCCCAAAGTGCTGGGATTACAGGCATGAGCCACCGCACCCAGTGTGTTATTCAAAGATATTTTCTACAGACAAAATTATCTGCAGGAGTCAGAGATGTCAAACTGAAAAAGCAGAGGAGCCTGGGGAAGGGCGACGGGGAGGCCACGGCTCTGAATCACCTCCGAAGCCCTCCGGTTAAAAGCATGGATTCCGGACACCTGTGCCGTACAGCTTATTATCTCCGTGTGTCAGTGTCCTCATCAGTAAAAGGGGTGACAAAGACAGTAGATTCTTCCTAGGTTGTTGTGAAGACCGAAGGACCCGGGAGGGGAATCAGCAAGTGGTATTTGCTAAATGTGCTTAGTATTATTATTTTATGTTCAAGAAAGTAGCATAACGAGGTATTACTTTTACTACCTTTCCCCAGGGCAGGTGCGAGAGGGAGTACCTGGAAGATGGTTTCATCCCGAGCAGAAAGGGCAGAACCCCCTTGCCTGTCTCAGGAATGCTGGGTTTTCTACCATCACCAGAGGGTCCCAGAATGACACTGCGTGTGCAGAAGACAGATCTAAGGATGAGCCAGCCTCGTGAGTGCGACCTACCCAGGTGTGGCTCCCCTCAGTTAGTACAGACACCTGAGGCCTTGCCTGAGGCATGAGCACAGATGCTTGCACACCGGTGGGGTTGGTTCCAGCCTGACCTCTGCAGGGAGTCTGTCTAAGACAGTGGTTTGCGAAGTGTGTCGTGAGGGCCCTCTTGGAAGAACATGTGATGAGACAGAGCAACTGGGGCTCAGGCAGCAGCCCAGGAGTCAGGAGCACTGAATGCTGGTCTGGGTGGCCATGGGTGAGGCCTTTACCGCCTTCTGTAGAGTTGTCTCATCTACTGAAGGATGAAAAGAACTCACTGCACAGAATTCTTTTACGATTCACAAGAGACAATGGGGACAATGGTAATATGTAAATATAAGGAGATGGCAGTTTTGTTTTTGTTGGGTTTTTTGTAAGCAACAGTGATTTTCTTTTATTTCTAAATTTAATTTTATTTTCTTTTTAAATTCCAGGATACATGTGTAGGACATGCAGGTTTGTTATACAGGTAAACACGTGCTGTGGTGGTTTGCTGTACCTATCAACCCTTCACCTAGGTATTAAGCCCCACGTGCATTAACTGTGTATCCTGATGCTCTTCCTCCCCGGCCCCAGGGACAGGTCCCAGTGTGTGTTGTTCCCCGCCCCGTGTCCACGTGTTCAGCTCCCGCTTATAAGTGAGAACACGCGCGGTGTTTGGGTATCTGTTCCTGTGTTAGTTTGCCGATGATAATGGCTTCTGGAGATGGCAGTTCTGGGAGATTTAGGGGTGACAGGGTTAACTGGAGCCAGGTCAGGTGGGGCAGCAAAATAAAACTAGCTAGAGAGAACCGGACAAGGAGGTGGCAGGTGCATAGAAACGAGAATCAGGCAACTTGCTGCTAACAAACCATGTGACCGAGAGCAGGCACACCCCAGGGCTCTCTTTCTTCATCCATAAAATCATATGAAATCCTGCCTCATGAGGGAGTGCTCCTGTATCAGCCACGCGCCCCCCACCACCATAATATTGCACTCCCCTTGATCCCTACCCTCGGGGGCCCTTCTGAGACATACTCTCCTGGTTCTTCCTGTGTCCTCTAAGGCAGGGTTGGCCATAGGAGACGCTGATACTGAATTACGTACCCTGGCTTAAATGAGGGTGACAGGGTCCTACTGCAGCAGAGGCAGGCGACAGCACTTAACTGTTAGAAGCAAGGTGGTGTCACAACATACCGGACAGCAAGATTAGGCTGGCCCCGGGGAAGTGTGCCCCATGGGGATCTCTGGAGGTGGCTAAAGAGCATGGTGCTTCTAGAAACAAGGTACATGGGCATCTGTGTCTATGGGGGGAATTCAGCCTTGCCCACAGAGAGGTCTGGCCTCTGCCCTGGGCTTCTGGAGGTCATCTTGGAGCCCTGGGAATGTCGTGCCTGAGAAGAGTGTCTTTGTTTTCCTGGAGATTAGAACCACTCCAGAAAGCCTAACAATGTGATTGATGGTGGAGGCTTCGAGTCACGTGTTACCAGCTCAACTTCTGGAGGGCTGGAGACTGAGGTCAGTCACACGGACAGTGCACCAAACGGTCCTCATAAAAACTCTGCTCACCAAAACTCAGATAGGCTTCCCTGGTTGGCAAAGTCACAGGCCGTTGCCAGGAGCAGCGCTGCCCTGACTGCAGGAGAAGAGGATGACTGGACACTCCTGCTTGGAGCTCTCCTGGGCTCTGCCCCATGTGTCTGTTTCTATATCCTCTGTCTGTAATCAGCCACAACCACGAGTATAACCACTTTCAGTGAGTGCTGCTGGAACATTATCAAAGCGCAGGGTACTGCTAGAGACCCCTGAACTTGGAATTGGTGTCAACAGTGAGGGCTGTTTTGTGGACTGTTCTTCCTCTAACTCTAAAACAGCCAACAGGGTACAGCTTGATATGATCGATAAAAAGAAACCAAGAATGGATGAGCAGAAGGCTGAGATCAGCCACCAGATAGAAAAGTTCTATCCCCTGTCCACTCTCTGCACCTGAGCCAGTTCTCAGACCCCGAACCCATCAATGGAAAGAGAAGCTGGGTCCCCATAAAGACAGACCTTGTCATACCACAGCACGTGCATCTAATAGCAGTTTCCTCAGCCATTTCCTCTGCTTGATGGTTTAGGCTCCTTTTGTGAGGGCCAAAATTGCCCCCAAAAAGGCATAACTTCACAGGAAGGGTAATTGATTCTGATTACCATGTAGGACTGCTTTTACATAATGGGGTAGGGAGAATACTTCTGGACTCAAGTAGTCCCCTGGGTATCAATTATTATTCCGACACACAGTTTTAACTGTAAATGGGTGAGTACAGCAACCGAGACCTGATAAGGGCCTAGGAACCAGGAGCACGCATCCCTCAGGGATGACAGTCTGTGTCACTCCACCAGGCTACCTAGACTAGCGGAGGTGCCAGCCACAGGGAGGGAAATCTATAATAAATGGCAAAGTGTGGGGAGGATGTGCATCAGTTGTGACCTTAAAAACAACTGTAGCAGTAAGGCCTATAATGGCCCCCAACTCTACTCTTGTAAAATTATCCAGAAATCAAAACCATCTAGAATTGGAGAAGCAATCGCTGGATGACATGAATTTGATGTGAGAACCATATGGATCTGAGTGGGCACAAGGTGTGGACCGCAGTAGATGCTGTAATGCCCGCCCACATTCCTGATGCTGTGATGCTCCGCCCACATTCCTATTATCTGATCCTTGTGGCTGTCACCAGCTTCTGTTCGTGGTGGCCACTCTAACAGGGCATGACGGTACCCTTCACCTAAGAGCAGCCCCTGCTCCAGAGGAGCCTCCAGGCCCGGAAATACCTAAAAGGCTCTGCCTCTCCCTGGCGTGGCCTGTAGCCAGCAACAAATGGTGCAGGGGTGGTGGGGCATGGTGGCTCATGCCTGTAATCCCTGCACTATGGGAGGCCGAGGCGGGGGAGGGGGGCGGATCACAAGGTCAGGAGTTCAAGACCGGCCTGGCCAAGATGGTGAAACCCGGTCTCTACTAAAAATACAAAAATTAGCTGGATGTGGTAGCAGGCACCTATAATCCCGGCTGCTTGGGAGGCTGAGACAGAGAACTGCTTGAACCTGGGAGGCGGAGGCTGCAGTGAGCTGAGATCTCTGTGGAATTCTGACTTGCAGTCAGAGCTGTTCCTGGTACAGTTGACTCCAATCAGAAACCCAGGCGAAACTGTGGCCCTGAGCGCAGAGAATTGGTTTTCTGTTTCCCAAACTTCCACACGGTGGCACCACTGAGCACCCACTTCGTCCTCGTGGTTAAGGGAGACGGTTCCACGTGGCTGGGCGGTCCTTGCGGTTCCTGCCCTTCTGTAGGCTGCGTGTCCCGCGTCGCGTCGGCAGCAATCTTGCAGCTTTTTGAAAAAGAAACCTTCACCAAAGGCTTCTGAAAGCCAGAGGCCTTTTCTTATTTCATTTGCGTTCTCTCTCTCCAAGGCCTACGAGAGAGCACTGCACAAAATCGTATATTGGGGATGAAATTGTTAATGGAGTTGGTAGAAACAGGAACAAATTAAAACAATTACCTTTTAGTCATGGGGAATTAAGTGAATCTTCATTCATATACACATGGAATCCCTGTGATGACTCGAAATGGACATTTGGTCTTTGTCCCTGTTCCTGACACTGAGCTCTGAAACCCCTGAAATTTCCTGAATGATAGGGATGAGGGAGCTCCTTGCTATTCATAACAAGCTCCTCCAGCCACACTGAGTTTGTGCTAATGAGGTGACTCTTGGTGGACCCCTAGATAGCTGCAGGATGGGGCTCGTTGCCAGAGGAACCAACCATGTGATTAGAGGACTGAGCTTTCAGCCCCACGCTGGGCCTCCAGAAAACGGCTGCAGCTGCGGGAGGGCTTCAATGACCAGTGGCCAATTATTTGATCAGCCATGCCCAAATAACGCGACTGCCACAGAAACCACAAATGAAGGGCTCAGAGCGCTGTCAGGCTGGTGAGCGTGGGGTGCAGGGAGGGTGGACACCTGGAGTGGGCCTGGGAGCTCCCTGCTGCCCCCATACATGGCCCTGTGTGTCTCTTCCACGTGGCTTTCCTGAGTTGTAGTATTTCTAATAAACCAGTAATCATGAGTAAAGTGACTTATTGACTCCTTTGAACTCCTGTAGCAGATTATCTAACCTCAGGAGGGGGTTTGTGGGAACCTCCAGTTTGTAGCCAGCCAGTCAGAGTATGGGAGGGCAGGTGCTGAGACTGGCATTGGAAGTGTGGGCGCAGCGTTGTGGGGCTGAGCCTTCACCTTGTGGGGTCTGTGCTAACTCTGGGTAGTTAGGGTCAGAACTGAGTTGTAGGATACCCTGTCTCTACTGAAAATACAAAAATTAGCTGGGCGTGGTGGCGCATGTCTGTAATCCCAGTTACTAGGGAGGCTGAGGCAAGAGAATGGCTTGAATCCTGGAGGTAAACGCTCCTGGGTGGCCTGGGTGGCAGAGTGACACTTGGTCTGAAAAAATAAAAGTTATTGGGATCTTTTGATATCAGAAATTCTTGGGACTGTTTGGAATTCCAGAATCTCACATCAGCTGTCATGTGAGTGTGGGCATAGAGTTGTCAATTATTCTTTCTCTTTAATACCCACATGATGTACAGTAGCTACAATCCCTCTAAATCAAACAAATTCTTGCTCTAGTATGTGTTAGAACAAAGGTGGAATTCTGATCAATCCGACACTGGCACCTGTGCCCTTAGGCCTTGCTCTAAAATGGCCTCCTTCCAAAACAGAGTGACGCATTGCCTCCACTCTGTTCATTGAAACTCTTTTGAAGGAATACTGGATGAAGTGAAATCCACTTGCTCTCTGGTGACTGGAGCTCTAGGCTGTGGTTGTGGAGATGGCCTGGCTGTCTCTCCTCTTTATATCCAGCTGCTCCTGTCGTATAAGCTGCCCTGGTGAGTTTGGAATGACACAGTTCTCTTGACAATCTGCCACAGCACATCAGCAATATCTCAGGATTTTGGATCTTAGCTAGGAATTGTATGGCAGACATGTGGTCCCTGCCCTATGATCACTTCTCTGGGATGACATGGACATGTAAACAGAATATCCTAATAGATGTGGTGAGTCCTGCGTTGGCATCAGCATGGAGAGTGTGAAATATTCTCAGGCACATTAGACAAGACTTCCTAGAGAAGGCAATTTCTAATCCTAGACAAGAAGATGAAGAAGTATTTGTCACACACTCCATCCTAATCTTCATGTGCCATTGTAAACTGGAGGGAATACTATAAGGTGAAATAGGAACTGGACAAATAAAGGGGGGCAGGCCTACATCAGGGTGGTCTGGACTGTAGCCACAGACTTGAAAGTCCAGCAAGCCCAGCACGGGAGACTCTTCTTTTGGGAGATCAGCATGTGGGTCCTGAGGCAAGCTATGCAGTCATTTGCATTATTCGTTTTGGCCTCGTTCCAGATTGTGGGGTCCAGATTGTGGGGTCCAGATTGTGCGGTCCTCTCCTAAGCTGTACAGCCTGCCTCCAGATTTGGAATCGTGGAGCAAAACACTGTTACCTCAGATCTCCTGGTTTCCCAGCATGCACCAGTACTGGATCCCTGCTCATAACTGTGCTTACATCATTTTTTATTATCAAATGCATTTGTGCAAATTCTGGTCAATACTACCTCACGTAAAGAGCAGGCATTTAACCGAACATCATTGAGGACAGCTTAGGAGCAGGGCGACTCCCTCTCACTTCCACAGGGTCACCCACATAGGCACACACACACAAGCACACAGCAAAGGGACAAGGACACAGCCCCAAGAGCCCAGGCCACAGGACAAGGGAGCCTATCCTCAGGGCACTGCTGAGCCTCCCATTCACAGCCACAGTAGCCCTGAGCCTGCTACCCTCCAGGAGTCCCTGTGTGAGTGGTTTCTGTTTCCCCAGGCTCTGGAGAACAGCTGGGGTAGGAGCCGGTGGGCAGGAGCACACTGAGAGATGCCAGCTCCTTCTCCCTGCAGTATCTGAATGCATCTGAATGACCCTGGTCCTTGCCTTGACGAGGAGGAGCATTGCTGTGACCTGGCGGAGGCTTTCCTCCGACTTCCACCTGGAACCTGCCGTGGTGGCTGCATCTAGGGAGAGGGGCAGAGGTGGACACCAGGACCTGTGTGAGAGGCAGCTCAGCTCTGCTGAAAGCCACAGGAGGGACATTGCTGGAGGGACATGACTCCTGGGTGACCCACTGGGTGGGAGTGGGGGGATTCTCCAGCAAACTTGACCTGGAATTGGTAGTTTTGACAACGTCATCACCAAAGAGAAGGAAATTCGTGGTGGGACACACTTTATTGTTTCTGGGGGTCTCTGGAGGCCCCTGGGTGGGACTGGATCACTGGCTTCCCCCGGAACAGGGCTCCGCTCCGTGGCTCTGCTTGTGGTAGTCAATGGCTATGTCTCCCAGAAGGGACAGATACTCAGAAAACTCAATCTTCTTATCCCCATTCTTGTCCTTTTTCTCAAAGGCATTGGCCAGGTAATTTTTGCCCTTTTTGTCCTGTGGAGAGAAAAACATACAAACAAGAAAAATTCAATCACAGACAAGATTTGGGGCTGGGAGAGGAGACGAGAAGGCAGAGACAGAGACAAGTGCCTAGATCGGCACAGGCGTGGTGGTGGGGCTGATAGCACAGGGCGGGTGGCTAAGGTTGGGGTGAGGATGTGAGTGTTATGCCTGGAGCACCCTAGGGAGACTTTTTGACACAAACCTCAGGGTGGGAGGCAGGTCCTGTCCCGACGCTCTCTGTTAAGTGATCTTGGCAAGGGGAGTCTCCTGCCCTAGCCTCACTCTCACCTGTCCCCAGACGTTAAGGGCACTGCCTACCTTAGGCTCAAAATAGGCCCTCACACTTTGTGCTCTTTCTCTGACCCCCTCTCGTTTCTTCTCTTTTTCCATCCAAACTCATCTTTCTGGGTTCCCTGTTCTTGGTCATCTAGACCCTTAGGTACCTAGTAGCCCATAGTATTTTTCAGATTTGCTCATGAGTTTTGTTTATTGCAAAGAGGGGTATTGATTTCAACTAGCAATGGAACTTCTAGTGCTTTCCTGTCAATGTCAGGGATGTTGACGTGGGGCCTTCGGGATGCAGGACCTGAGCATGTGAGTTTCAGTCTCACAGAGAGAGGGTCAGTGAGCGCTGGGAGGGGACTGTGCACTGCCCACAGGCTGCACTTTGCTGACTGTCTAATAACATCTTTATATCTGTCTAACCCTTTACCATTGTCATACTTGTTCGCCTATCATCCTTAGATTCCCATATGACCCAGGCAAGAAAGCCCTATTGGCAAATGAGAGATTTTTGAATCAGAGGATGAGGGTGACCTGTCCAAGGTCAGGCAGCAAAATGTATCCTCAGCCATCCCAGGGCCCAGCCAACATTGAGAAGCTAGACCCCGACTCACACAGGCACTGAGGAAGTTGGGGAAGTTCTCCTTCATCATCGTCAGCAGGCTGGGCTTGTCAATCTTGTCGTCACGTCCGGTGTATTTGTGAAACATGTTGATCATGCCCACTATGGACCTCTCAGCTTCAGTGCTGCTCATCTTTGCTTTCAAAAGGCTTTGGAAAACAGAGACAATCATTTCGTTCCCTTCATTAGAGTTAAGTTCTCTATGTGAAGGCATTGAAAGGACGGCTGAGGAGTGAGTAAATCAGGGCTAAGATGGAGCAGAAGAAACTTGATTTTTTTAATGTGATGAGGTAATTTGCTCAAACATGGGAGGGTGGAGCCAAGTCTGAGACCTGCCCCATCCTGGCCGGGGCCAAGAGGAGATGTAGCTGGAAGTCCAGCTGTGGGCAGTGCTTTGGAGAGCGAGAAGCAGAAAGAGACGGGGCCAACAACACGTGGAAGAACTGAACCCTGAGCTGGGACCCTCAGCCACAGCCGGCACATGGCAGACCCACTCCTCAAACAGCACCAACTCCATCTCCTTCAGCTTCACAGTCGGGGCGAGAGGCACGGGGCAGGACAAAGGCCTTTGATCTGGGCTCTGACCCTCCTGGGCTGCTTCAGGAACAAGACATCATGGGCTCCACCTTGACTCAAGTGCGGGCCCTGCCTGACACGGTGTGTGCAGGCTCCAGGTGCACATGTGAGCGTGGACGTGAGTGTGAGCCGGAAACACGGCCCTGTCCTGAGCACAGGGGCCCCTCGTGCATTCCCTTGGGCATGAGAAACAGGCATGGGCTCTGTTACACAGAATAGAAATAACTCCCTGGTTCTTAAGCTGCTGAATGGGATGGGAGTGAGGTGGGGTCCCTTCATGTCTACTCTTGGGAATTATCTGCACCCTCTGAATCTCCAAGGCTTGGCTCTTTAAATAAAACGTTCTGACTTTCCAAAGCAGATAGTCTGGGCTCGCCTGCACCCCAAGCCTGAAAAATAGGACAGTGCAGCTGTAGCTTCCCACACTTTCCAAGGAACCAGAAAATGACCTTGGCTAACGAGTGTGGCATCTGACAATAAACCCCCATCACCTCCCAACACAGGAGAAAGCTCCTTGCCGGCAATTTACTAAAAGGAGCCACCCAAAGCTTTTTGAATCTGAGGCCAGGGCAAGGGGCCAAGCCCAGTTCCCAGAGGATAATTGAGGCTTTGCAGGTCCCAGGTCTGGGGATTTGAAGAGCACCCAAACTATTCACAAGGGACCTTTATCCCTCCACCCTCTGTGGGGGCAGAGCTACAGAGGGGATTCAGAACCCCAGACCCCAAGAAGAGGATGAATCCAGGGAGGAAGAAGACAGGGAGGAAAGGGAGGGTGCTGTGCTCAGGTCCCACTGGGGACATTTCCACAGAAGCTGTCTCAGGAGACCCCATAGGCGCAATGGGCAGGGCTGGTCCAGCTTCCTGGTTCTACAGAGGAGCACTCTCGGGCTCCAGTGAAGGTCACACATCCCGGCTGGCGGCAGAGCTGGCCTAGACCCTGGACCCTGAGTCTTCGTCCACAGCCCTGCCCTGTCCTGCAGGCGGCACAGCAGGCCAAACACTGGGCGCTGCTAGAAAAGGCAGAGGGGTAGGTGAGACTTACCAGAGCTGGGACGTGTCACCAGGGGAAGGATGAGTGAGATGTGTGCGTTTGGACGAAGAGCAGTCCCTTTATAAGGCTCAGCCGGGCTCTTCCCAGGGGCTGGAAGGCCCGGGGCCACCTCTGTCATCTGTTTCTTGCCCCACATCAGGTGGGTGGGACACACCCAGCAGGCTGTGCTCAGGATTTCTGGCCAGAGTCCCAGGTCACCAGGTCCCACACCACCCAGAGACCTCAGTGGGGCCTTCTCCGGCTCAACCTTGGTTTGGGTTAAGGCGGCCGGTGCATGTGTAGTAACGGGACG